ACACTAATTAAAGACCTTACATTAACTCTAGGCACTAGTTTTCCACTGACCTGTGAATGTCCCAGCAGCCAGGCTGGCACTGCCTGTACAGCCAGGCAGTCGTGACATCTTGTACAGCTTCCTGATGAGCCGTCTCTCCTGCCGGAATTCTGGCTGTTTGAAGTCATGCGCTTTTGAAAAGTTTCAGAGCAAATGTACAGCAGATCCAAAGGAGTCAGCCCAACTTGCAATCAATGTTAAAAATACTGCAAGTGAAACTGCAGTCAAGAGAGCTATGCTTCAGGTAGCTCTTTGCAGTTAGCTAGGAACTGAAGATCTTACCCTGGGGAGCCCCCTGACTTTATCATTGAAACCAGGTGATGAGAAGAACAATGGCAGTAACAATAGCACTTCACAGCTCTTGCACTGATGAAAAAATCACCTTCCCTAGCTGAGTCTCTAAAGTCTATGAGTGTTTAATAAATAAACACCAGAGATCAGAGGCAGCAGCTGCAGAATGAAGATAAAAGAAGGCTCAGGATGGCTGAAAGTTTGAAAAGAGGGGCTTTGTCTTAATAACTCCTCCTAAGTCATGTCTTGACTGTCCTGCACAGTCTGGCCAAGATCTGCATTCAGCCTGTGCAGGCTTGGAGAAGTAAAGAATCTTCATTTATCAAATGAATATTATACCTTTCGTATAGGGATAATCGTGAGGATAAAATGATATAATATCTTGGATTTGTTTCAAAATAATATAAGAAAGGAGAAAAGGTCAGGATATGGATGAATCAAGATTGATCAGGAGATGACAGCTGAGGCTGAGCACCAGACACCTAGAGAGACTCATTATACTATTCAGTCTGCTTTAGTCCAAAATAGGTTTGAAATTTTCCATAATTAAAGCTTTTATTGAAAAATGAAATCAGCAAAAATGTAAATCTGTAAAGGACAGTATGTTTCAAAGGATTGAGGTAGATTTTGCTCTTAGCCACTTTGCATTCAGTATGTAGCAATTTGCTTTGGGTAAGATAATTTTCATGGATAAATGAGTTGGGCTAAAGTAAATACTTTTTTTTCTGTGTGAGCATGGTTTGAACATGTCTGCACACATTCTGTCACCTCTTACATCTTAGAGTCTACTTATGAGAAAATAAAAGAAACAACTTTGACCTTTCAGTCCGTAAAAGACAATCACATTATGACAGGACCTGTGTGGTGTGTTTTTGTGTGTGTGGCAGAAGGTGGGTGTGATTATTAGTTCCCCTTCAGATATTTATAGGTTTTATATTATTGGGAAGACACTTGGACTTCATGGTGTTTTTTTTAATGTTTTCAGATTTTATTTTATTCTATTTTATTAGAAAAATGCTATTTCCCACTTGAAAATCTATACACTGCTTTACTTTGGTTTATGAGAGCAAATGTTTCAAATCAGCATAAGAGGCAGAATATTTAAATATGCTCACAGCATGATCAAATGAGCTTGTGATTCAAATTTCATTTTTAAGGGATTTTAATTCTGAGATGTGGCTAACAGGTTAGAAATAGGATTGTACCTTACTGATTATACATTAGGATAATTAGGGTTATTTTCAAGATCTGCTCACACAATCTGGGAAGTGATTTGAATACACTGATAACATTTTAATGTATCTTAAAATGTGACTGTCCTTAGGGTAGGCTTTGTCAACCACAGGAATCCTCAAGCTGGGGAAAACTTCTCCATAGAGTTTGGGGCCACTTAGATAGCTTTAAGTGAATTATTTTCTACTCCTTAACTCCTAATTCTCCTTTCCCACCTAGCCTGTAGTAAAATAGTCCTTGTCTCCTAGCACAAAAGGAAGACCTAAGTCACTCTCACACACCTGGCCCCAGGGTGCAAAACTTGGAGAGAAGAGGGGACAGAACAGAGCAAGGGGAAGAATTCAGAATATCCGTGTCATGTTAACAACTGTATGACTCTAATGATTGAACAACAAATTTGTCTGCTCATTGGATGATTGGAAATCCTGCTGCTGCCAACAAAAATGAAGGAGCTAGTGGAGTTGCCTTAGGATGCATCATTGAAAAAAATCTTTGGTAAAATATTATTAGGTGATTTTGGCATGTAATTCCAGAGTTTAAAAAATTATTAGTTGACACTGCTTTAACAAAAATCCATCTTCTTATTTGTGCAGACAAGATGTCTCAGCACTAACATTTATAAAAACAAAAATTGCGTAGCTCACTAGATCAAGCATCTGACTCTTGCTTTTGGCTCAGGTCCAGGGGTCCCATGGTCATGGGACCAAGCTCTGAATTGGGCTCTGCACTGAGCATGCTGCCTTCTTGGGATTCTCTCTCTCTCCCTCTGCCCCTCTCCCCCACTCGTGCGATCTCTCAAAAAAAAAAAAATGGGATAGTGTTTGTACCAAAAATAATAAAATTACCTAAGCAATAAACTTAACCAAGACAGAGAAAGATCTATACTGTGAAAATTATAAAACACCAGTGAAAGAAATTGAAGACAACACAAACAAATGGAAAGATGTTCTGTGCTCTTAGATTGAAAGAACCAATATTGTTAAACTGCCCATACTACCCAAAGCAATCTACAGATTGAATGCAATCCCTATCAAAATGCCAACAACATTTTTCACAGAATTAGAAGAGCCAATCCTAACATTTGTATGGAACCACAAAAGACCTCAAATAGCCAAAGCAATCTTGAAAATGAAAAAAACAATCTCAGATTTCAAGATATCCTTCAAAGTTGTAGTAATCAAAACTGTATGGTTCTGGCACCAAAACAGATACATAGATCAATGGAACAGAGCAGAGAGCCCAGAAATAAATCCATGATTATATGGTCAATTAATCTTCAATAAAGGAGGCAAGAATATGCAATGGGAAAAAGTCTCTTCAACAAATGGTGTTGGAAAAACTGGAAAGCAAAGGAGTGAACCTAGACCACTTTCTTAACCTGTTGGAAAAACTGGACAGCAAAGGAATGAACCTGGACCACAAAAATAAGCTAAAAAATTAAGGACCTAAATGTGGGACCTGAAGCCATAAAAATCCTGGAAAGGAGCACAGGCAATAATTTCTCTGACATCGGCCATAGCAACATTTTCCTAGATACATCTCCTGAGGCAAGGGAAACAAAAGCAAAAATAAACTGTTGGGACTACATCAAAATAACAACCTTCTGCACAGAAAAGGAAACAAGAAAACTAAAAGACAGCTGACAGGATGGGAGAAGATATTTGCAAATGGCATATCTGATAAAAGGTTAGTATACAAAATATATAAAGACCTTATACCTCAACCCAAAAAACAAATAATCTGATTAAAAATGGGCAAAAGACATGAACAGACATTTTTCCAAAGAAGACATCCAGATAGCCAACAGACACATGAAAAGATTTTCAACATCACTGATCATCTGGGAAATGCAAATCAAAAACATTGTGAGATATCACTTCACACCTGTCATAATGGCTAGAATCAAAAACATAACAAACAGTATTGGTGAAGATATGGAGAAAAATAAACCCTCATGCACTGTTGGTGAGAATGCAAACTGGTGCAGCCACTGCCAAAAACAGTAGGGAGGTTCCTCAAAAATTAAAAATGGAACTACCATATCATCTAGTCATTCCACTACTGAGTATTTACCCAAAGAATATGAAAACACTAATTGGAAAAATATATGCACCCCTATGTTTATAGCAGCATTATTTACAATAGCCAGGTTATGGAAACAGCCCAAGTGTCCATCGATAGATGAATAGATAAAGAAGATGTAATATGTGTATACACACACACACACACACACACACACACACACACACACACACACTGGAATATTAGGCAGCCATAAAAAATGAAGTCTTGCCATTTGCAACAACATGGAAGAATCTAGAGGGTACAATGCTAAGTGAAATAAGTCAGTCAGAGAAAGACAAATACCAAATGATTTCACTGATATGTGGAATTTAAGAAATGAAACAAAGGAACAAAGAAAGAAAGAGATAAGCCAACCAAAAAATAGACTCTTAACTATGGAGAACAAACTGACAGTCACCGGAGGGGAGGATTGTGGATGAAATATAAAGGGGATTACTAGTACATTTATCATGATGAACACTGAGTAATGTATAGAATTGTCAAACCACTATATTGTACACCTGAAACTAATATAACACTGTATGATAACTATGCTAGAATTTTTTAAATATATAAAAAATTTAAAAAGACTGCATTGGACTTTAAAAAAAACAAGATAATGTTGATGCTGACTCTGTCTCATTCCAGCAATAGCTAATATTCATTAGCAGACACATGAACTAGTTTTTGAAAACATACATCTCATTAAGAGGGGAATTTTAATTAATTGTTGCTTTTATTTAATAATCATAAAGTTTATATGATGTTTTTGCAATTTTTACCAATTGTGTTTGAATAATTTTAATAACTCCAATTAGGAGATTTACTTTAGTGCTTGAAAGACTTATATTCTCAGGAAATCTTTAACCTTTTCAAAATTTAACTTACATATTTTCACAGCAAAGAGATATGATATGGTAACTTATTAAAAATACTCAAGCACAAAATTATATTATATTAAGATAAAACCATGTGGAAGAAATTAAATGGAAATAGAAATGCAAGAGGGAAGAGGACCAATGTCAAATTCCTATTACAAATTCCTATTTTAAAAGGTTGTTTTTATATTTTTTTAACGGTGGATATCAAATTACATATGGTGTTTCAGTTCCATTGGATATCAGAAGAGTAGTGGAACAATTCTGTTTTTAACTGTGAGTATTCTAAAATGTGAGAAATTACATACTTTACAACTACTTAAACTTATGAAAAATTTAGTTCCTAGTTAAAAATATGAAACTGAGATATGTGAATAAATGTTTGAAGGTCACAGGTCCACAGCATGTGGATGCTGTACTGGATACTGAAGAAATACACTGCATTTACAGACTTTCCCACTGAATCTAACTCAAGATGTTTCCTCTGTTTAACAGGATGGTCTGACGCCCCTGCATTGTGGAGCACGGAGTGGCCATGAGCAGGTGGTAGAAATGCTGCTTGATCGAGCTGCCCCCATTCTTTCAAAAACCAAGGTAATTTCTTCCCAAGTTCTTGGACACTGACTATAAGTAGCTTTACATCCTTTTACTGCTTCTTTAATGTAGCCTTTTGAATCATGTAGAAAAATGATATCATTCCCATTTAGCAATTAAGGTAGGCTAGTTTACCAAATCTTTAGAGAACCTCAAAATAAGTTTGGGTTTAAGAAGCCTTCTGCTAGAATGCACTGTACCACAAAATCATTTGTGTGTCGGGGCGCCTGGGTGGCGCAGTCGGTTAAGCGTCCGACTTCAGCCAGGTCACGATCTCGCGGTCCGTGAGTTCGAGCCCCGCGTCAGGCTCTGGGCTGATGGCTCAGAGCCTGGAGCCTGCTTCCGATTCTGTGTCTCCCT